CCTTTGATAAGTTGAAGGAAGCACTTATTATTGCTATAATATTATAATCGTATGATTTCAACCTTTATTGTATACTTGATGTTGATTCTTCCAATTTTTCTATTAGAGTAGTCCTTCAACAAGACTTTGGTAGGGACCTTCAATCTGTGGCATATGAATCACACAAGCTTAAAAAGGTAGAGTACAATTACTTTGCACGTGATTAAAAATAATTAGTGATTGTAGTCACTACAAAGGTGTGGCAACACTATCTATTGGAGAAGCTAGTGGTTATTGAAACTGACCATCGATCTTTGCTACACAATTTGTATCTCAAAAATATGAAATAATATCATTATTAATGAAAAAAATAGTTGCAGCTTTTTGATATTTAGCTTAAGTAGAAGCAAGGGCAATAATATATTAATTCAGATAGGTTATTGCAAAAACCAAACTTGAAGGATGAATCAAAAGACAAGGCAAAAATCGCTACCATTACTAATGTCATTTCAAATTTAACCAAAGAGTCAAAATAGAAGGAAGCTATGTATTGGGATATTTATTTCAAGATGGTTAACGATCAGTTGAAGGTGGGCAATATATAATAGCAAGATTACATTTTTAGTGATGACTTGTTCTATTTCAAGAAATAAATTTATATACCCAACAATGCTATACTTTAAATGCGTATAATTCAAAAAAAATATGATATTTTAATATCTGGATATTTGAGATCAAAAAAGATACTAGAATGGATCTCAATGACATGATTTTGGATAGGTTTGGATTATGATGTTTGAGCCTTTGTATGCTCTTCTAAGTCATGTTAACATGATAAAGTATGTAATACACCATCTTCTGGACTATTACAGCTAATTTTACTATATATAGTACATTGAGAGCATGTGACTGTGGATCTCATTACGTGTTTGTTGTAAATACCTCATAATCATATCGTGGTTGTTGTCTTTATGGATCGACTCTTGAAGCAACTTTACTTAGTCATAGTGTGCTTAGATATTAATGCCTACAGCTTATACAAGTCTTCTTTGATACAATATTTCATCACCATAGATTATATCATGTTATCATTTTAAATCGAGATCCATACTTCATGAGAAGTTTTTGGAAAGCCTTGTTCAAGCTATTAGGCATACAACTTGCTATGTCTAAAGCCTTCTACCTCCAAATAGATGGGCAAACAAAGCATGCAAATTGGACCTTAAAAGATATGCTGCGAGCATTTGTGGTGGTTCATTATGATGATTGGGATGAATACTTGATGACCTTGGAGTTTGCTTACAATGTCAGTATTCAAGTAAGTACTAGTCATTTACTATTTTTCCTTAATATTGATCAACATTCAAATATGCCAATAATTTTCCATCATCCCATCAATATTAATAACTCGACAATAAAGAAATTTATATAACAGCTTACAACGGCCTTACAAGAGGTATGACACCACCTCATTATTACATAGAATTGATAGAAGCAGTATACCAATAACCATCAGCAACACAAGATCTTCCAAGAAAGTGATCAAGTATTACTTTTTAACACCAACTAGCTACTTATTACATCAATCTAAATTTATAAATTAGCACATCGGTGGCTTGGAACTTTTCACATTTTTGTAGTGATTTTTGATGTCATATACTGCCTCGAGCTTTCACCACATATTTGAGTCTATCCAATTTTTCATGTTTCACAACTAAAGGAATTTCATACTGAGCCAAAGTACTTTCCAAATTGACATCAACCACAACCACCACTAGTTGTAGTTAATCACTAACAAGAGTATAAAGTGGATAGTATTTTGGAGTATTACTACCTTCACAATGGTAGTGTACTTCTACAACTTCAATACAAAGTTCTTTAGAAAAGTTATTTCATTTACAATGCAATGTAGGAACTTGTACAAAATCTCAAACATTACCAAGAAATAATTCAAAGATACCATCGAGAACAAAATAAGGATGTTTTTCATTAATAGAGGGAGATTAACTGTAATAGGATATAGATAAGATATTTGTATAGAAATAGATAGTTAGAACCATGGAAGTTTCTAGAATTGAGATTAGATTAGTAGATTAGGTAGGATCCATCTCGATACATTTTAAAAAGAGTTTAGGGTGATTATTTAAGTAGGATCTACCATAAAATCTTTTAGAAAAAGCTTAAGGTGGTTATCGAGGTAGGATCCACCATAAAACCTTCTAAAAGGAGTTTAAGGCAATTATTTAAGTAGGATCTACTATCTATGAATATTTTAGAAAGTCCAAGGTGGTAGAAAAAACTATAAATAGGACTAGCCAAGGCTTTTTGGGGCATCTAATCAGATATGGCTTTGGACCCTTTTTTTTAATATAATTGGATTTTATATCTTCTTGTTTTGTTTTGTTTTGTCTTAATTTTGGTCACTTAGTTTTTTCTTTTGTATCTCATTTTATTTAGTTTTGTACACTTTTGTTTTGATTTAGTTTATCCTACTTTATGATGAGGTTTTATATTACTATGGATTAGAAGAGTCTTAGACACTTGAAATAGACTGGTCATATTTCAATATTGCTTCTATAGAGTTTTGTTGTAATTTATAAACTTAAAAGTTTAACAAAAATAATAATTTATCATTTTTTTTTATTTTATAAGTGAGTGAATTATTTCAATTTTTTGTTGTATTTTAAAGGTTGCAAAATATTCACTTTTAAACTTACATCTTTTATTTTTTTTAATATTGATTTTTTTTTCTTCTTAAAAAAAATAGAGTATCTTTCTTTGTAGAAATTTTGGTTTAATATTTGAGATTGGGAGTTAACTTCTTATAATTTTATTTATAAACTTGTTAAAATTATCCATTATAGAGATGGAAGTAAAATTATTGATACTTCATTTAGTAGAAGTGAAAATAAATTTGCAACTATTACAAATCTTCACAAGCTTGTCAATACTTTTACAATAAAAATTTTACAAATTATTAATGTCAACTATAGAAGTATTATTCCTATGCATATAGAAGAAGTTAATAGTGAGGTCTAATATCTATACCAAGAAGTTGTGCAATTAAGAAAAGAAAATAAATCAATCGTAGAAGTGAATCTAAAAAGTCTTATTACTATAAGTATAAGCATTATAGACATAATCAATATTTGTAATTACCTAGATAAGAGAAGTTAAATAGGAATAAGTAAAAGAAAAATTATATAATATCTTATGGATAAGCTTCTTAGAAGTTTTATAGATATGGATTCAATTTTATACATGTTGATAGGTTTAAAATTTAGTCAACAAGTTGTTCATGTGTTGCACATGTTTGTAGTTGTGATATAAGTTGACTATATGGTGCATATATAAAAACTTGTCTTCCAAATTAAATATGTATTTTGTAAGTTAGACATGTGTTAGAGGTCATATAGAACATCATTACATAGCCTTTAATTAAATAATATATATAGAGGCAAGAATGAAGCATTTGTCACTCGTATTAATGCCTTTCTTGTTCTTATTATTATTTCAAGAGTGTCTAATCTTCTTGTCTTTAATAATGGTTATTCTAGTTTTAATATTATACTACTATTAAATAAATATCTACTTTTTTAGTAACACAAGAATACATTGATGTTTTGATTGTTTGTAATTCATATCTTTAATAAAGAAGAATGTAAAAATTAATATGCGAAAGAAGTTTGGTCAAATAAGATCATAGTTTTAAAGAATTCTATTACAAGTCAAGTTTTATTTAAGATTATATTATTTTTAATATCATGATAGATTTACTCAAGTTTAATTTATAGGTACAACTTACTTAAGCCATTGCATGCCATAATCAAATTTTTAAAAGATGCCAAGAATAAAGACTTGATTAAAGATGAACAAATCAAGTCATGACAACAATTCTTAAGTTTTAATAAACATATTTATAAAGATCAAAACCTATGTAAATTAATTTTGTATATTTTAAATCTCTTACTAAGGATAAAAAGATTTGATGTCATCAAGAAGAATTATACTTACACTTTGGAGAATCTAAGCATATTATTTAATATTATACAAAAATAAAAAATAAAAATAAAAAATAGTACAACCAAAAAAATAAAGAGCATGACTATTAAAGAAAAAAATATGTCAAAAAATAAGTTTGTCTAGCTACAATAAGAATTGTGAGACTAGAATCTTATGTGATACATAATAAAGGTTATATTTTCTCCTCAAAACCTTCATATTGTGTTATAATAGATGTTTGTTTAGGACCTAAAAATCACAAAACCTTTGCTTTAATAGATGCAAGAGCCTCAACTTGTTTTTTAGATGAACACTTGGTTAAAAAATATAAAATGTCTTTAGTAAAGATAATCAAACTTATGCATGTAAAAGTCATAGATTGTCATTTTCTTTTTTTGTCTTTTTGAAATATTATTCATGAAAATATTCCTATAGTAGTAATAAAAAATGGTCATAAATAGTTTAGTGATATATAATATTATCAAAGCTTTCCATAATTTGGTAGTTTTAGGTTTATTGTGGTTAAAAAAAATATAACACTTGGATAAATTGGATTTTTTGTAATCTTAACTTTTTCATAACTCAACAAGATTTTTCATATATTTGTGGTTCACAAGATGAAAAATCATTTCAATATTATATTTTGATTATTTATATATTATTTAATCCAAAAAAAATAAAATTTTAACCAATTCAAGTGATTGGATTGTTCTATAAGTAATGGTTACTAAAGTAAACAAACATGCAAAAGGAAATGGGATCTACCTTAATTTTGATTTAAATAAATATATACTTCAAATATTCAGTCTTCTCAAATTTAGATGAAAGTTGGGGTAGTTTTTTTCCTAGCTCAAATCAATCAACAAAGAAATTAGTGAAACAATCAGGGTGTAAACAATGACTAGCACAGGCTAACCACAAAAGGAAAAACGGTGATTAGCACAGGCCAGCAAAACAAACAACACTGGAAAGAAAAGGAAGCAAGCAAGAAAAGGAAGAAGAATGGGCCAACAAATAAGGTGTGGCGGCAATGGAGGAGGGACTTGGCATTGTGGGTTTGCATGAGATGGTGGAGAAGCTCTCTTTGGTTTTTGCATGCATACATGCGAGTTGGGTCCAACTTTTCACGCATTAAATGTTGTTGTTGTTGTTGATGTTATTGTTTCATTCCGTAATTTTGCAAGAGATTTGAGCATGTGGGTCGATTTGAGCAGTTTCTCTGTGTGTCGCGAGTTCGGTGCTGCATGTTTTGCAGCCTTTTCATGTCCATTCTGAACAACGAGCGGGGCGCAGAGTCTTTGTCTGAAGATTTATTGTCCCAGTTTCTCTATAATCGTCTCTTGGAATGTTTCCTCTGTGGAGCTGTTGAAATGGGTTTCAGTTGGCGAGTTGTGTAGGTTGAGAAGGAATTAGGGTTCGGAAAAGGTGTCTTCCTTCAGGGTGGGATAACTCCACGAGTTTGCGTTAGGGGTAGCGAAGATGCCGTATGTTGATGATGCGCTGCTGAGTAGAATTAGAGTCTACCTGAGGCTGAGACCATCTGTAAAGCCCTCTCCAGCGATCAACATCGAGTCCGAGACGCATAGGGTGCTGATCGATGTGGAGAAATCTATCGGCGGAGGGCCTCCTAAAGCATACGTGAACCAGATTGTCTTCAATGTGGACAACATCGTTCAGGTCATTATCTCCTCACCCCAGCGTACTTTGGGTTTCGGGCAATAAATTCTACAGTGTGCCAAGTGCCAATATCAATGCAGATTTATTCCTTCATTTAACAGCATGTGCAACCAAAGTGGTAATTGACTTGCAACGGGCACACTAGTCATACGAAGAGGCCTAATTGCACGAGTCCAATCATTAATTGGTTGTTTCTTTTTCGGAGTTTGAGAAGCACAACAAGTGACCTACCCCGTGAAGAAACATAATCTGCGGTGGAGTGAATTTTATAGTAACTTATCCACCTTGCATTTAAACCTCCTAGTTTTGGCAATTCTTGCAAAGGTTACAGATCCTGCTCGCTAGTAGAGTTATAGACTTAATAAATGAGAATGCTCTGCATTGTGTCACTGGAATTCCAGTGAAACGCTTGGTAGTCGTCGTGTATGTTGTTTTCAATTGTCAATATCCTGGTCCCCCCCCCGAATGTGATGAGCACGCCCACAAGTAAATCTTTCCAATGCAGAACGCCTTTCATTTCTCTCTGGAGCTATGATTCTACGAATTCTCTCTGGAGTTGAAGGTTCTAAATAAGTAATTAAACAAATACATAAAAAAATGAAAGTAGGAATCAGTCATTTCGACATGTGTCAGGGACAATTACAGGAGTTATCCATGGAATGCTCTAAGATGGATATTTAGACAGCTCTTTTGAGGTTTAAGTGCTTTTTGTCGAAAACACGAAAATAATGATATGGGGTTCATTTTTATGTTTTTGTTGAAAAATAATGTCTGGATATCAGACCACCAATCAACAGACCATGTATGAGCTGTGTGCGAAGGCAAGTGTGGACGAATTTTTGAAGGGGTATAATAGCACTATCATGAGTTATGGCCAAGTTGGGGCTGGCAAGACTTTTACAATGACTGGTGATATGAAGGTAGCATCTGGAGCCAAGTAAATTCTGCCAAAACATGTGCAGCTCCACTTGCGTTTAAATATTAGATAATATTCTATGCTTCTTTTGTAGACTCAGCCGTTTACATGTCTAGATGCAACAAAGTCGAGTCAGACTTAAATATCATTCGTCATCGTTAAACATATGAGTCACAATTCTTTAGGAGAGAATGTTTTTAGTAAAATCATAAGTGCATGGAAGATCAGCGAGGATCAAATTTCTGAATATTTAACGCTCTTCCATGACGCCAGCGATGCCTTTTAAGAATTATGTTAATTAATTTCAAGCCGTGTAAGGGTCATAGGGCCCAGAGGCAGGAACCAGGTTGCAATATAAAAATTGTGTGCAATCCATTTGTCAGGAACTGATAACTCGGCATGATGGGAGCTCAGTTTTGATTTTTTTTGACTGGGAACATGAGTTGGTGTCGTCTGCAGCTGTAGCCTTTGATTTGTTAATCACAGAAAGGTTGTTTGGGATGAAGGTCTATGTTCATCGAGGGATCATTCCACGAGCAATTCAGCAGATCTTTGAGGAAAAAGAAGCAAAACCTGAGGCTGGTATTGTTGTCCACATGTCTTACATGGAAATATATCAGGAGGTACATAATTACATCTGCCCATGTTGCATCTAGAAAAGTGTGAGAATAAAATATATGCTTTCAGGCATGATGTTCTAATTTATGAGTTTAGCCTGGCACTTTGTGCACATTGTATCTTTCGAAGTATTCAGTTTCTTGACAAGGTGACGTGGTAACTAATTGCGGGGGAGTAAATGCAAACCAAATGCAAACCAAATGCAAACTTCAGGGACTATACGACCTTTTGCAAAAAAGACGTGACGATTTGATGATAATTGAGGACAACCAGCTTCTAAATGTAAGAGGTCTAGCAAAAGTGCGAGTTGAAACTGAAACGGAAGCACTGAAATGGTTCCAGGAAGGAGAGAAGTCAAGATCTTTTGGAAACCATTTCCTTAATTCGGTAAGTTTCAATTTCAAGTTTGATCTTGTTCACGTTATCCCATCTGCTAGCGCCTTTGTTCATTGTGCATGTTTCGTACAAGCCAGCTTTGTTAAGTTTTCAACATAATAGATGACACGTTGCAGATTCCTGTTTACACCATTGGCGAAACCACCAGCTGTGTGTTATACAAGTTTCTAGCTATCCACACCAGTTGAATCGCAACCTTAGTAGACCTTCTCTGCTTAGTCTCCTGTTGTGTAAAACATGTCACTGAACTTTACTACATACCGTCGGTGGCATGTCCATTTGTTTTTGCAAACGCTTTCGTTATTGAAGGTTTGTTTGAGATACGTGAATGCTTTTTGCGTGTTATCGCTCTTGAATTGCGACTGTGTGTCATATAACAAACCCATCTTATTGTGGATAGCGCATAACATGTAATCCTAACTATCTGCATGTTACAATGCCATACGTTTTCAAGACCGCACTTCAATCCAAGTTTTTCCTTCCTCAGCGTGTGTACCCTTAGCAGAAACTTCATCATGAGGATCACTTAAAAGCAATTTCTGAACCTCACACTCTGGAACCCCATCCAACGGTGGTATGAATTGGGTTGTTTGCAAAAAATCTTTGTTACACTTAGTACTGTCTCCGATTTGGAGTATTGAAGGTTACTGCTGCTTCACATTTCACCAAATCCAGCCTACCTGTTAGCATCTTATTTCGTGTAAGCAAGTTGTGTCTGCATTTATTAAAAGGAAGTGCCCATCAGAAACATAATAGGTATTTTGGATTGTAATCGCCTAATTTAACAGCTCTCAAGTAGGTCACATACAATCCTCACTTTCTATATGGAGAGAAGAGTGGCAAGGGTTAGCACTCAACTAGCACTCCAAGTTGCGAAGCTAAATCTGGTAGATTTAGCTGGAGTAGAGCGCTTGAAGAAGACCAAGGGAGACACAGGAAGCCTAATGAGAAAAGAAGCTTGTATCAACAATAAGACCCTATCATTCCTCGAACAGGTACGTATGCTGTTCGATGGCATACGCTTTTTTATAATGTATCCACGCATCAATTCCCATAAAAAGAAATTGCCTGGCACGTAATCCTTCGTATGCACATATTGAAGAAGCTGAGTGATTGGGTATTCAAATTGGACTTGGAGCAAAAAGTATTCAGTCTGAACATGATTCATTCTGAGACTCGAAAGAGTTGATCATGGTTGCGGTTTAAAGCCTTACTTTAGACCTTTGACGAACTGCCTTGGTGATATTCCACTCATATTATACAATCTTAGATCCTGATTCATTTGTGTACTTGAACATGCAGACCATTTTTGCTCTCAGATTAAAGAAAGCACACATTCCTTTTCGACACAGCAAAGTCACGACATTATTGAAAGAATCTCTCGGTAATAACCACAAAACTGTGTTCATGGTGTGCGCATGGCCAGAAGAGTACTTCCTTGATGAGACGGTACCTTCAACAAAAACTTTTACAAATAAAACCTATTTTCTTACTAAACTTATTGGACTCTGTCTACAACTAGTGAGATAATAGTACAACCTTGTTTGACAGTATATGTAAGCACTTTCGTGATGAATGGAATATTCAACTTACGCTACACATCATTACATAGAATTTTGGTATATGTCTTGTAATATCCATTCTAGGTTCCCAAGGAATTCTAATGTTCAAGTACTCTATCATACAGACTGACCACGTGTGTGTCGATTTCAATTATATTCCACAGATTGGTGCATTAAGGTTTGCTCAAAGAGTGAAGTACCTCAAGATATTCCAAGTCACTCACAAAAAGCCGGATTGTGCCGACACTACCAGGTTCTGCACTAGCGATTAGGTAGCTGATGCCTTTGCTGAAGGTTGGACCATACAATCAGAGGCTCACAATAATTGCACTTGGATAGGTTGCATAGCTTTGCAAGTCGGCACCGAACCCATTCTCTGATCATGAATAATTATGATGTGCATTTGGCTGCAGAAAGCAGCAACTAGAGATTGCAACTCTAAAGCAAGAACTGGCTCTGAAAGATGCGTTGAACGGTCGACCTGGCTTGGGCTATGACAACTTAACGTAAAGACCACCTTGTACATTCTTACCTTCATGTTGCATACTTTTCAGCATAATAAACTTCGTAGATCTCCGATCTTCAGCTAAGGGCATGTCCTTCTGTCATTTCTGGGTCATGCCATTCTGTCTTATTCCATTGCAGAACAAACCCACAAGCAAATCTCAGTGAAGGTATCTGTTGTAACTAATCCTGGTTCATTGAGGAATTATAGGCTCCAGCTACTGAGTAGAAATGCCTTTCTATAGTGGATACAAAATTGCTTGTAGTCTGCGTTGGTTGTGGAGGGATGCTCAGGTCCATTAGTAGTTGGTGTAATTACGATTAAATCTATTCTGTAGTTATGTTCAAATTAATAGTATTACATTAGGTAGCATTTAGGATTTCTATGCGTGATTCCTAGCTATGAAATGATTGGTAGTAGAATTAGTAGAATAGTAGTATAGTGATGATATTTTATTCACGATTGTTCAAGTCAAACAAGGCAGTGAGAGGAATGCAATGGTATTATTTCAATTTGCTGCAACTGGGTACTAGGCATGTTTATATGGATACCATTTTTTTTTTTATTTTGATGTGATATTTTATTGCCATAGTTTTCAAAAATAATGTTAAAAACAACTTAAACTGGAACTGATTATTCCTAGTGAATTTCACTGTACTAGGCCAGAAGTAAAAGATAAATTAAGATCAACTATTCAAGAATTTCTAGAAAATGATAAAAAACTTGGCGATATTCCTATAAACAGTATTAAACAAGTAAAAAATTCGGGATTTTTGACATTCTGTCTTTTGGTTTAACATTAATATTTATGCACATCAAAGTTTAAGTAATTTTCAAATTAAATAAATAAATTGAAAGCAGTTAGAAGTTATTTATTTGCACAATAGCTATGTAGGATGGCACATGTTTATACTCAGATAAAACAGGAAAATTTTAATTTTCAAGTTTGACCAATATTATGAAATTCCTTGTTTTTAAAAAACCAGAAGTAGCCATTAAATGTACAGGTAAAAGAAATATTTTATCTCTTCAAAGAGTCACAAATGAAGTTGGAAATTGAGGTGAGCATTTCTTGAAATTGAGCTGAGATCATAATAGACTAAACTTAATTTCAATTATCAAAATAACTTCAAATAAATTCTACTTTCTATCTTGCTAAAATATAGTATGAAATGACTTTCACGTGCATTAAATCTAATGATAGTATCATTTAGATTTATTATTAGATTTACATACTCAAAATTAACTGTATTGATTTAAGCTGCAATTTTATTTTAAATGATTTTTTAAATTTTTCTTTACAAAATTAAAACTAAGCCAAATCAAATAGCTTGAAAAAGCGCTTCAACAATCTGGGATATCACCAATGAAACAAGAGCTTCATAAAAAAGAATATTGTGTGGAGGAATTACTGCTTGGTGTAAGTCACTTGCTCTAATTTACTCAAGCACATTTTATAATCAATCTTTTTTTTTTTTTTAAATGTATAATACCACATCAAAATTAATGAAAAGCTAATATCAAGACAAGCTAACATTTGAGTAACAATTTATTATTTACATAAAATAGATTCACAGCAAAATGAAAATTTGCTTTTAAATTTATTAAGAACCACACAATGCTAAAAGTGAAGTGAATCTGAGAATTCAGTAACACATGAACGAACATTGATTAGATGTTAACTAAGATAATCGTCTTTTTCAATTTAATTAACTTTTAATTGAATCAATCCTGCATTTGAATGCATTAACTAAAGAATATCAGACTCAAATTTGAAACAAACACTTGCTATTGGTTGAATATTGAAAATGAACTTCAAGCCAAAAATAATTTACAAACCATGAGAATTTACTAAAATATTGCAATAAGTTTTGATATTATCAAAAAGTTCCAAATTTTTTGTAGACTTCAAAAATAATTGTAGTTAATTGCATACGTGAAAACATCAAACCTTCTATTCTTAAGTTATTTTGTTGTGGAAAGAACAACCATTTGGAATTACGCCCCATGACATAACTTGTAATTTGGATATAGTACACGTTTTTGTGTCATAGAAATAAATGAAAAAACATTTCAAAAGTTATTTTATACTTTCAACTTGTCCATAACCAAACATTAACAATGATACATGTAACGATATATATATATATATATACATACATACATACATAAATTTTTATATATATATATATATATATATTTATTTATTGACAATGTGATTGTAATAAATTAGGAATTTGATGATGATGGTGTCACACTAAATGTCAATCAAGGGGCCTCAAAAGCATTAGAGCCAGATGCTATTCGTGCAGGGGTCACTATGTTAGATTATAAGCAAGGAGACCCTTTCTCCAAAATATGGATTTCTTCAAACAAACTAAGAAACGAGGTGATATATATATATATATATATATATATATATGTATACATATGTAAATATGTAATTAATATAAAGACTATATTTTTTTAATTCTAATTTGAGTATTTTATAACAGCCAAGTAGATTAAGTTTGAGATGATTCCACAGGCTATGAAGGAGTTCAAACTTACAGTTCCAAAAGTTAAAGAATATGAGACTTGGATCAAAGCAAAAAAGAAGCAATTAAAGTAAGAACAAATGGATATAAGTGTATCTAATAAAATAAATAAATCCCATTTCTCACCTTCTTCTTCTTTTTTTAATATTATTTTCTACCCATCTTAAATTGTGTGACTGAATGTGAAGTAAATTCAAACAAGTGATAAAATGGTGTTTTTTTTAAAACTATTTTGATGCAATTAAACCACCGATTACTGGAAGTATTTTCTGATGTTCATAAAATTGATGCACGAATTTATATTCTCCTACTTTTTTAATTGTTTCTTTAACACAAGAAATTAAGCTTTAAAAATAACTATTAATGCATGATTAACTCTGAGATGTTTGTAGAAGAGAACGGCGCTGCGCTCGAGATTTGTGTGACAAGTTCAATGAAATAATTCGTGAGATTCATGTTATTCAGGTGTACATGATATCCAAACAAAAAAAATTGTGTTGTCTTTTTAACTGTATTTCAAAAATACAATCATTAAAAGGAAAATTAATAAACAAAATCTTCTAATATTTTTTGTGGGTATTTTCGGGAGGTTTTCTACACACAATTAGTATTTATGTAACAAAATTAAAAAAGGAATCAACTTGATACGTTTTCTGTAAAATAATTTTCTGTGATTAAATTATTAGAGTATCCTAAAAGAGAAAAGGGGATTACGGGATTTTGAAATGGATGTTGATCATTACAAAACCAATTTATTCAATAGGTATACTTCATTACAATACAATTCACGAAATTCAAACTCACAAACAAATAAATAAATAAATAAAAGTGTGCATAAATGATATATATATATATATATATATATATACGAGAATATGAATCCAATGTCAAACGTAGGCCATAATTTTTTTTTTTGATAAGTATATTGACACTCAAAATTTTAAAAACAATTTTGAACAATCAAACAGGTTTCAAACAGTTAAAGGAGATCGTGAAAAAACCTTAAATGATATTAAAATACAGAAGTTAATAGTTACAAAAATCAGTCAAGAAGTAACCATCCAGTATCCTGTATTCACATTTCTTGTATATGACATCATAATTTGATATTTGTTGATTGTTTTTAAATTTTAAATTTTTAAAGAAATAAATCGTAAATTTGATATCTGACATTATAGAATTGATTCAATTCATATATATATTTTGCAGATACGAGATTGCATGGAAATGTTCTTAAAATCATTTTATCTCTGGTATTACGAACATGACAAATTTCGGGGAAAGGACACTGAAGCATATTTATCACATTTAGAGAGGCAAGTGAATGATTCCTTCACGCATCCGAATTAGAAGAAGAAGAAGAAAAGAAAATAAAAACACACACACACACAATTTTATGTATACAAAGCTTAAATGATTCATTTGTGGGTTGTTGATGACAAATTCCAAACATAAGTTATCTCTATTTTAAAAATTGCAAATTTTGTGATGTTATGCTATCAAATGTTATCAAGGTTGTTTAAAAACATGTTGTGAAATGGTGTCAATGATATGAAACCTACTCGAAAATCATTAGGCATACACACTCACACACATACAATATATTTTTTGAAAAGTGCATACTTGAAGTGATGTTTTTGATGTGGTAATCCTATAATAGTTAAAAAAGAAGCCATCTCTCATACATATAATCACAACAATGGGTCAAGAAATATGAAAATTTGAAGACATGTCAATGTATTAGACTTGTTTTTTAAAAAAAAAATTACTGCAAAACACTAAAAAATACTACAAAATATAGATCACCAAGAAAAGTTTGTAAAAGTTCATGGTGCTTCGGAAATAGTTAAAGAGAAGTGGATCGGACGAAGAATATTTCACGAATCCAACGGCCCCGATCGCCACGATTTGTTCAACAACCCACCATCCCGTGCCATGTCAGCAATACCCCCCAAAGCTCCACCTGGAACCCTGCATCCAATGGGACCCATTCCAAATTGCCCTCGTGGCAGAGGGAGGGGAGGCAACCAATGGGACGACGCCATCTCGGACCTCCCGAGGCGCCGCGCGGTAGCGGCAAGCGGCAGGGCAGGGCAGGGCAGGGCAGGGGGGGAAATCCATCATCACAGTCGTCGTCGTCGTGGATTGATGCGGGGCGTCGCTTTCGCGGTGTTGCTTTGTGAATCCAGTGTTGTGTGGATTTTCAATCGATGGGCGCCTGTCGGTGGAGGACGGGACTCCTGCTGCTGCATTCCCTGTAACTAACTACATTTTAAACTGTGAAGAAGGATTCCCGAGCCTGGTGGTGGTGAGGCGGTGGTGGTTGCCTCGGCGGCGGCACAGATGATATGTAGTGGTGGTTTTTGCGTCCCATGCTGCGTCACGTGTGAGGCGTTGCTCGGGCTTTGGTGAGTGGTGCGGGATATTTTTAGACCGTCCGTTGTTATCGCACACGGGGTGCTCCACTGGCCTCCTCGCGCGGGCTCTCATTCAATGCGGGTCTCCATCTGCGGACAGTGCGGGGTCCCTGTGGCCCTTGAGCTTGTGTCTATGGATGTTGCGGCTTTGGTTTAGGGTGGTTGCTTGTGTGAGGAGGGATTGCGAGTGTGGGAAGGGAGGGAAGGGACTGATCGGCAAGATAGATGGAGGTGGTGTTGGTGTAGGTGGTGGTTCAGGTCGCTTAGGAAATTTTGAAATTTATTTGCTGCTGTTCCGTGCCTGCGAGTGTCTCGTGGCATTCCGTGTAAGGTATTGCCTTCTTCGTCATCTCCCTTTTCTTCCTATTTTTGTTCTTTCACGGTTAGTCTGCATTGCCGCAGGTTTCGACTATGGTGGGCATTGTGCGTTACGGTGGATTTTTCGTGGTGAGGCTTAGAGTGTATGTTCGGAGTCTCGTATAGTGATACTCGAATGCGCAATTGTTGTTGTTGTGGTTGTTGTAGGGTGATATACCTTTTCGTTAATGTTTATTCTGATGCTCTGGCAATGAGCTGTGCGTATCCGTCGGCTCTGGAGGTTACGCTGACAGTCTAACGCTATCGGAGCAAATCTCACTCCCGATCAGGCTTTTGCGTTTAAAGAGTCGTTCAATACACAGTCGATCGAAATAGGTATTTTTTTCTTTGACAACGGATTGGATAACATCCTTTTACAGTCTCGTGGTCTTGACCTCCCTGCTTCGAACTTTCTTTGTCGCAATTTCTTTGAACAGTTTCTCGATTACGAAAGCTCTTCGCTACGCACATGGTAAGGGAATCAATTTCACGTGCTCCGACAGCTTTTTAAGATTAAGGAAAGTAAATGCTAATGTTTCAAACTATTACTACATGTTCAGTTTCTAAGCAAAAACGTTATTTTCTCCACACAGAGTTCCAAAAATGGACAGGATTCAAAGCTATTCATTATGCAACTGTTCAGGTGTTAGAGCTATAGGCAGATCAACTGACCGGTTTTCAAACTCCTATGACGTAAGAGTTCATTGAATGGAGACTCGATGCCTTCGATATACAGCTGTAGGAGTTGTGTTTTATATTAATGATGCCACGTATGGACGGCGTTCAGTCTGGTTTATCCAGGAAGAACATGCATATTTTCACATACAGCTTATTCCGACCAATTCATGGACCAATTCCTGGTATTGAACTGTTTGTTATCCGTTAGAAAGATCAAATTCGGAAACCACTCTTGTTCTAGCCATTATCCGTCGATCAGCCTCCCTTTGGGTGTGGACTGTCTGGACTCACATAAAGCTCTGCAGTTAATTCTGCATGCCCACGAGCATGGAGATGATTCGTATCTTAAGGATATTTTGCAGTTGCTTAGCTCCGTTTTTCAGTGAGAAGCTTCTAGATGTTCCTTGCCCTGGACGATAAATCATTCTCGATTGTTTTCTATATCTGGTTATGAGTTCCGGCACATTGGTAATAGTGCATACTAACTTAACTTGCCAAGAAAGACACTTACTGTTAACAATCCTACCAAGAAGTGCCCTAGGTGTGGATGTAATTCACTGATTTAATGAAGATCAGTGGTTTTAATGCAGACAATTGCACTCAAGTGTTACGATTGTGGATGTTCATCGGCAGCTGAACATGCTTCTATCGTTACGGAGCGGGTAACTATTTAATTATATATTGGAGCGCTTCGATCGAAAGTCACGTTGGACTCTTACGTGAGGGATTACAGCTGAGGATACCAAATCTCCTGCGTTTACTATCTTCTAGGAATGAAATAAGATTATTGCCATGACTCGGTGTTCAAGCTTTAGTTGTCAACTATTTTCTGGTTGAAATGGCGACCTACTATCCCTCGGTTCTTTGGAATCTAGTTTCTTGAAGTTCTCGAGCCTTTAAATGTACTCATTCAACATATTCTTTGTTCATGATGGTGGTGACTAATGGAAGTCGTGATCTCCTGCAAAGTTGTTGTCCACCTCGTCGCTGGTTACCAATTTTCGACTGCATCGAAGAATCACAGAGGAGCAAAGGATGTTGTGTGAGCTTATTCAGCAAAGAGAACTCAAGATTTAGTGGACTTGCGGGAACAAGGATTAGCCGTAAGAACTCGCTTAAGTCCAGACACCAAACATATACACCTTGCATCGCTGGAGACTGCACTAGTATCACACGCTCAGAGTTAGGCGTACCTTTAAGGAGATCGTTGGTTGCTACAAATCGTAAAGGCAAATGGGGGAAACACAATCAAGTCAGAATTGAGAGATCCTGGGTGAGGCGTCACGAGAAAGGAAGATCATGGGAAGGTCATACAAGTGGAAGTGGTAGCCTGCAGTATAGCGGAAAGCAACCTGGACTTATTGAAGAAACCATATCTCTGAAAGATGACCAGCCACTTGATGCGAGGGGAATCGGGGAACAAGGGAGTTTGAGGCTGTTAAATCAGCCGCGTAGAGAAGTGTTGGAGGATGTAATATCTAGTCCAGAATATCAAAAGATTCAGGATCTGAAGTTTTCTGGTGATATGTGGGAGGGAGACTCGGGTCCCCAGGTCTTGGATTTACAGGTTGGTTTATATCACCGTTTGGCTTTGTGGTTGGTTCTCAGATACACTCGCTTAGAATATTTTAATTGTAGTATGTTGGTTGCTTAATTTAGATTGTGGCGGAGATAGTCCATTTCAGAAATTGCTGGTGGTCGAGGTTGTTAAGATTGATATATTGTTGAGCCGATAAGCGCACAAGGCTGCCGAGCATCTGGTTTACACTCTCTTTGAGAGCTTGTGAACAGACGCTAGCAGTGACCTGTTTTTATCATCTTTCTATCTAAAAGTGTCACTGTCCTGACAATGAACAGAGAGCGTTGTATTGGTATGGATTCTTGCCAAAGCGTACAGAGTTAACTGCGTAAGGGGCTCTTTACTATTTCAATCTGCTGAATCGATTCAATATTGAGCTTTTGGAGTTTTATTAAATTTACGTTATGTTGTGTACTCCACTGAGCTAAGTACATGCATTTTATGACAGTGTTGTATTCAGTTATTTTGGTCCAGGGACAAAGAGGGCATTGCAGCAGTTTCAAATTGCGCAAGGGGTGCCGGGTACTGGGGTGTGGGGATCCTCGTCTCGGCAAGCTTTGTGGAAACTACTCAACGTAGAAAGCTCTTCGTCTTCTGTGAGTTTTCATCGTGAACTGCATCCAGTACTAACCAGTCACCTTTGCTGTGTTGGATTTTCATTTCCTATTTAGAAAGAGGACTCTAGTCGCTATTTTTGTTTTGTTTTCTTTTTTTCTTTTCACCTCTTTGTAGGGTTCGTCTGCCAGGTCCACGGGAAGCAATATTTGCTCTAAGTTTTATCGTGGATCTATTAAGGTTGCAACTCACGTGTACGACCATTAATCTGTAATGCTTGTTTTAAATAGCTGGAGCGAAAGAGGAGGTAGCAGTAATTGATATGAAGTTTATATTTTGCAGGAAGGAGGAAGCAGTGTGCAAAATAGTTCGCAACAAACCGTTTCCTCTTGGTTGTACAAAGCAAATGCACGAGGAGCAGGTGTTGACATATGTGTATCAGAATTGATGGCTACCATGGGTGTGCATGGTCAAGGTTTGTTTCAATCCTTACAAAGTTTCTTAGTACTTTTATTAGAGACAATGTCGAAGTCGTGGGATGACCTTAAATACTTCTATTCAGTATAGTAAATTTCAGTGTATATATTTTTAGGAAAAATGTGATATTCCCATTTTGGTTTCCCGTCATGTAGGCTTATAGGTTTTGGTATATCATTCTTCTAATTCGTGCTTTTATGCTCCACAGAATTTATGTCAACTTGGTCTTCTGCACCATACTGGAGAAGTTTACCGACTAATTTCCCTAAAAAGACTGCAACAGTTGGTGTACTTGTAGTGGTGATGGTGACTATGTTTGGACTTGGATACTCTGTTGTAGGGTTGTTCCATGCACAACATGGGCAACCTGTGAGGCGAAGGGTGTTAAGAGCACGTTGGCGGGATGACCTAAGTGGTAGAACCTTGACAAAGTCAAAAAGGCACCTCGACATGTTTCCAGGGTTAAGTCTACCTTTAGTTGAGGAAGAAAATTCGAAGTATAATCCTCGTTCGAAGTCAAAGCTTAGTTCAGCGAATTCTGCAGGGCGTACGGATCGCTTGATATTGTATGAAGGGCAGGTGCTAACTGGAGATGAAACACCTGGTCATGTGTATTCTTTTATGCCGAGCTCTGCGTCTCGCCGAAGTTCAGGAAAGGCTTCTCAAGTACAAGCGACTACGGATCAAACCATTCACAAACCTGCAAGCCGCCGCAGGTTCTCTGGCCCACGCGAGCAGTTTTCTCAAGAGAGTCAGGGTCCTTCCAAGATGAACAATGTGCGCATTCGAGGTGAGAATTGAAGTCCGATAATTGTGGGTTTCTATGCTGTTGGCTGTCTAGTAAGTCTACTAAGAAATTGTAGTCTCGTCCAATCCCATGGGACCAACGAAGTGCAAAGCAATAAATTGGTTGTTTGTAACCATTTCTTATCTTCGTTCACTCTGAAATATTTCGGATTCAGTGGTATCAGGAAAGAATGATACACCGAGAATTATTGCAAATTTCGTCACAACCTGAAAAGAGGATCAATAACAAATAAATTCTGTTCGACACTGAAACAGGGACAAAGACGTCCAGGGTAGATAGAAGCTCCGAGATGGGTGGCAACGATTGGCTAGACAAGGATGAGGTGATGACGTCTTGGATCAACTTAATCATATCTGCATTGTAGGCAGTTGAATCGTCTTTGGAAGTGAACACTTATATATATATATATATATTTTCCTTTCAAAAATAGTATCGTATACAATTTGAGGGCCATAGCTATGCATTTCTTAGTACATTTCTTTTTTGTGTCGTTGTTTTACAGTGTGTCGACCCAATTTGTCAGGATGCCGAGGGTCCTTAATTATGGTGTTAGTAATCAGGTGTGGACGACGCTGGCACTTCTGTTGGCATCTGCAATGAGCTTTATGTATTTGGACCAAATTAATTCTCAGCTCACAAATGTTGTCTGGCTTTCATTGCCGCTGTTTGGTTTGACAGGAGAACTTCAAGAAACGTGTGGAGGACTTGCGGAAAGCAGTACAGGCCACAGAAAAGAATCGGCTGGCAGCTATGCGAGCTCTGGCTGAAGAACGTCAACGTAGCCTCGAGTTGCAAGTTAAAATAAGTCGCCAGGTATTTTGTGCAGTTCGTAAACAACAGAAATCTCAGAATGTACGTTCATGGTTAGCAAGTAGTTGCCAATTTTGACGTTACATTAGATTATTTAGCTGTATCAGAAATGAGAAACTGCATTTCTTCAAGATAACCCAGGCTTTTCACTTCAATGTGTTGATATTTTGTGTGACCTCCAGAAGGAAACAGCAGCAGCTCTTGAAGAAGAAGTTCGGGTTTTGAAGGTATGGCTTGCAGCCTTTACCGGTCTCCAGTCATGTTCGTCTAGCTGGGACCTTGTTGCTTTCAACATGCACTCTCGTGTGTATTGGCATTCTTCTTTAACACTAGTGCAGAAGTATCCAGCTCCTTTGTAAATTTACACGTTCTTCTGACATTACATTGTGCATCAAATTTGTGTGCTCCGAATTTATACGCTATTTATAATCTGATGCACTCTACTGTGGTTTTTACATGTAAATAACTTTGCTGGATATCATTTTAGATGCCCTTCGAAATCTGTCTGAATTTCAGTGATTTTTACACGGAGCGAGTGTTGCATGCTTCTTCCTGACATTTGGTTCTGGTTCCTGCTTTGCTTTTTTTAATGCTTAACGTTAATGATACTTCTTGTCTTGTACAGGAATCCCATGATGCGTTGCTGGCTTCCTTGCGGAAAAAGTACAGTTCCTCTGTAGCAGCTCGAGCTGCAGCTGCTCTGCTGTACCAAAATTGGGATACCGAGTATGAAGAGGGCAGTCCTCAGACCCTATCATGCTGATTTTGCACTGTGCAGGTTTGTAGCGATTGATGTCCCTTTATCTACCCCGAGCCTCCACCCTCACTGCACTCCCTTTTTTGTGAGATCTTTAGGTAGATGAGTCACTGAGCACAATTCATATTGAGCAATTTATCCAAGGAGGCATCTAATTGCATGTACAATACTCCACCATTTGGGTTTTCGAATGCTAATTTAAACTCAGTTCGGTAGGATTTCTGACTTTTATGCCTCTAGTTTCAATGGGTTTTATTTCCTCTATTTCAGGCGCTCGATACTTTTTCCTGTTGCAATTACTCGAACTGCGTATTCCTTCTCGCCTTCTGGACCTACTGTGAAGACAATAGCATGATCATGTGTAATATGGACCAGGAACTCCAATGGTTTTGCTCCTCGTACTTGATTCATTGTTGGGTCATGTAGCCTATGGCCATGTTGTTATTATATGATACATTTCTCCAATTCTAATTATTCTGTTTGTTAAAGATAACCATTACAAAAATCATTTGTTACAAACCCAAAATCATAATCTCATTTACAGACTTTGAATTTTTAAATCTTTGAAACGTAGTGTAAAAATACACTTGGATGCATTTTAATGCTGTGGGGGAATATGTATATGAAAAGATATGCAAATTAAATAGATGTTTTACTTGGAAAAGCGATTGTATTTATTCTACATGTTTGGTTCTGTAATATAATTGTTACATCTATCATACTCAAAAATGGAAACAATATGGTGAACAAACTTGATTTATAATCAAATCTGAAACAGAATTGTATTGACATTTTATGTACAAATTTTTCATTCAGCAAGTCGAACACATTTCGAATTCACACAACTGATCCAAGTACTTACAGATGTATTTGTCAATAAGATTAGAATGATCAACAATGTTAAAATATAAAATCATTCCTTTTTTTCAGTAAAATTGTGTTATCGAAACTCTCAAGTAGTACAACCTTAGAATATATGTCAAATTTGATGGTATAAACATGAGAGTTTTGCAACTTTTAACAGGAATTTTGAAGAATACACTACCTTCCTTTTGTAACCTATTTAATCTTTATGCATGTATTTTAACAAGAAATGTAATAAAACTGTAACAAAAATGAGTATTTTATTTTATTTTACATTTCTGTTAGTTTTCAATTAGTGAAGCGGGTTTGTGAAACAATGTAATTAAATAAGAGTAAATCAAATCATATGAAAAATATGTTCAAGTCAGCCAATTCACACCAAGTTAACTTATAACTTTGTATAGTGACCACTATGTACTTTTCACCTCTTTCTAATAATTGGAATTTAGATTTTTATTTTTCAATGAAAATACCATTCTCCTTAAAAATTACATGAGAACTTTGTTTGAACAAAATATCTATAAATTATAATATACGTTTTTATACAGCACAACGCAAAGTAGTCTTGTTTTACATACATCAACTCAAGTAGTTAGGGAGGTTGTTCGTTCAAAATCAAATGCAAATATATCATTATTTGTACTTTTCTCTTTGAATAAAAATTGTAGAATATAAGAGGATTTATATTGATCAATGAGATTCAAATGAGTACCTACGGACTCTGTAGATTTTATTATATTTTTATTGGCTTTTTCTTTCTATGTTACATGTTTTTGGTTTGAGATGACAAAATTGAAATAAGAATTCATCAATTTGTTTGTTTGTTTGTTTGTTATTATTATTTTATTTATTTATTTATTTTTACCAAAAAAAAATAACACAAAAATGCCTTCGAAGAATTTTTCATTTTATGTTCTTAGAATTCGTTTTAACATTCTGTTTTCACAATTTTTTTTTAATATAAAGTCGAAGCATTCAAATATATATATATATATATATATATATATATATAATTTTAGAATTCGTTTTTGTATATTATAGTATGTAATGATAATTTATTGTGAAACCAACTTACCTTCAAATACAATAAAATGTATCATTTACAAGAGATTTGAAGACATGTTAAGAAGGCATCATAATCAACAACTAACTTCCCTGACACATATATGATTAACTCAAATCATTACAGTTTTTACTATGCACATCTAAATCATCAATCATTTGTGCTTAGTGACAAACTAACACACCAAAACATTAAATCAACCAAGTTAATGATATTTGATACATCTCCATTCAATTGCAAAATATACTGTCCACGAAAAATCTCATCATAGATTTAAGAAAATACCACAACGACACACAAAACTACATCACAGTGAAAATTAATTATATACCCATACTTTTCACACACGTGATAATATCTGAAATAAAATTGTAAAAGATCAAAACTTTTTCAATATACACAAATACTTTTCAATCTAGTAAAGTAAAGTTATATGATCAAACAAATAAAATTGCTCGAGGAAGTGAAAGGAACAATGAGATCCTTGACTCACAATGCCCACCAAGACAGTCAGTTTAAACATAATCACACACACCCACACATTTATTAAGCGAAAAAAATCTCAAAAATCTAACTTTGATTAAAAAAAAACTAATGTGAAAACTCCACTTGTAATAAAAAAATAGAAAAAAAATGTAACCAAAAAAAAAAAAAAAAAAAAAAAAAAAAGGAGAAAAAGTGGAGCTAATGTGAAACCCTAAAACGCCAAAACTAAGTTGGTGGACAACAAGACAAGACCAGAATGGTCCTGCCCACACTCACACTCGTCCCCTCGAAGCCTCTCTTCTCTGCCCAGCTGAGAGAAATTCGTACCTACCTGCCCGATCTGCCCGATCTGCCCGATCTGCCCGATCTGCCCGAGAAAACATTCACTAGCATCTGCCCGAACTACCCGGAGATGAAATTTGAGAATCTGCCCGCACTGCCCGTCGGCGGTGCAACGGAAGACCAGAGAGCGGGGCGTGGATGAGAGAGTCTGGCGACGGCGACGAAGACTCCTCCATGACAAAAACAACAACAACCCCATCCTCGATTGGGAAGAAGAAATCGGGGAAAAAACAGGGGGGAAGAAGAAGCAGGAGTAGAAGAAGAGGGAAATGAAGAAGAGAAAAGGAGAAAAGGAGAAGGAGGAGGAGTAGAAGAAGAAGAAGCAGAAGGGCATCGAGCTCCATCGCCATCGCTACTACTACCTCTACTTCTTCTACTTCTACTACTTCTATTACTACTACTCTGCTGTCTGCCATGCAGCATTAATCAAGCAGTAGTGCTCTACTCTGCACACTCTAATCCCGACTCTGCTCTGCTCTGCTCCGATCTACTCTGCTCTGGTTGGGGGGGTTGGGCACAACAAGCAAGCAAGCGAGGTGTGGCAATTCCCTCGGCAACCAACCTTGGCGATTAACTTTGGCAAGTCTGTCTGCGAATGTAGCAGTGAATGTCCTCCGTTTGGTTTTCTGTGAACTTGGTTTACTTTTCTTACTGTCTCTTCCTCCACACCATGCAGCGTGATCGGCGCTGTGGGGGAATCATCCCTTGATGACATTCCTTTCCTACTCGGACGATGAGTTTTGGGTTCTATCGCAAAGCATCGCGGGAGGTTGGATGAGGGCACACTGAGGAGGGTGGCGGGCGAGCTCATCGCTGTGGGATTCCTGCTGGTGAGTGTGTGTGTGTGTGTTCTCGAGGCTGGGTTTTAGAGCCTGAGAGGTTTCGGGACATGGGGCGAGTGAGTCTTTGACGTGCACGCATTTTGGGTTGCAGAATTTGGGTTTAGTTCTTGGGTTCCGGCGATCGTGAGGGGTGCGGAGTGGGCTATGTTTGAGTTGTGGTTGAGAGCTTTCTGGGGCGTTGTTCCAGGGTCTGTTTCTGGTGGGGCGTAGTGAGGTGCAGAAATCTACTGTCTGTTGAATTCGGAGAGTATTTTGATGAATAGTCTAGGTTAAAGTTCGGCTCGATTGGATTTCTGAGAATCGGGAAGCTTCGTTTGGCGGAAGTTGAATTAACTTGATCATTAATTTGATTCGTGTGGGTCGTGTGATTCTCTTAGATTTTATTATTCTTAGTATCATTATTTAAAAAATAAATAAGTCTGAATGTAGTTGTCTGTTCTGTGGCATACCAACACACGATTGAAATAAAATTCTTTGTATTTTTGTGCCCTTTGGGGAACTCAGAACTCAGATTGCTCTTCTTTCTTTTCTTTTTTTTCAAAAATAATTTGTAGAGCCTAAAGTAGTAGCTGAGGGTGAAAGGTCAATGACGAATGCAGGTTGTTTGAGGCTCTTCGTGTGATGGTGACCTACATTTGCTGCATACTCCGAGCTGAGCAGGGTCGGTGATTTTGGGGTCGCTGTAGATAGAACTATTATGGTTGTCCCTTCCTGAATGGCGACCGATTTCTTCAAGCTTTTCACCTTATCTTGGAAGGAATTGAACTTCTATTTGGAGCTAAACGGTAATTGGAGTTCGATATGGCAGACTTAAATTCGTGGGCAATGGATAGTTTAAGTGGTTTGAACGATGTTCGAAAAGATACCCCTATGGAAGACTTCGAAGATCTAGACGTTCTGGAAGAGGAATTATCTCATGTAAACCCACCCGCCAATGACCTTGAGGGGTTTGAAGATGATGCGCCTCGTGCAAGCTCCCCCATTGTCATTGATGATTTTGAGCCCACACAGATGCAAATTGACCCTACTGCAAATTTCGATCCTCCAGAGCTGAAATATGTGAAAGAGGAGCCTATAGTGGAACGGGTCGACTGTGGCGGTAAGAAGAGAATGACCGAACAGGAAGAAGAAGAAGAAGCGCGCTGGGCTGTTGCGAAGATGTTCTTTGATCATAGAAGTCTGGTGGAAAACCAGCTACAGAGCTTTAATCAATTTTTGGGAAAGGAAATGCAACAAATGTTCAAAGAAGCTCTGCCAGTTGAGGTTGTACCAGATCATAGTCCGGCTTCAGTGAGGATCTCAGGGCTACCAAGGTATGCCCGGTTTTGGTATGGTGCAGTTACCGTTGGAACACCGGATACATTCACAGATGATGAGAAGAAGGTGACTAAAGTTCTGTATCCCAGAGAGGCGCGTCTTCGAAACATGACCTACTCCGCACCAATTAATCTTGAGATAAATCTGGAGGTGAATAATATTTTCACATTCTCTTTGATTTTTCTGCGTGCTGTCATATATCTCGTTTTGGTGTTTGCATTATTTGCCTTGAAGCTGTAAGGTGCATGTTTGACGTTGGACCCTTCATGTACTGTTACTCTTTTCATTTCTCAGTCCGGTATGGTTTAAATTAGCTGACGAATAAGGTGGAATATGTGCATGACAGATTTACCAAACACATGTGAAGTCGAATCAGCAAGAGAAGGTAGTGCTTCAGACAATGAGTGAGGATGTCTGCATTGGTAGGATACCAATTATGGTTAAAAGCAAATACTGCAATCTTTCCGGGTTGGCTGACACGAAATTGAAGAGGAAGGAAGAGTGCGCTTTTGACATTGGTGGATACTTTATTATCAAAGGTTCTGAAAAGGTGCGGAGGATTTAACCTGGATGGGTTTGTGAGGTAGCACTTTTCCTGTTTTTTCAATTCCAATTTTAATCTTTGAAAAAAACGTCTACCTGGATTTTGTCTAATGTGGGTTTGAAAACTAGTTTTGGATTATGCTCAATAGTACAAGATATGCTTGATGAAATGCTGAGGATACTCGAGCACAAAAGTTCTGATATGTGATAGATTTCGTCCTAAGGTTGTGAAGCATGCGTACAGGTGCTAATCGCGCAGGAGGAAAGATGTGATCAGCGAGTTTACGTACAGTATTTTAAAAAAAAAAACACCTGGTTAGCCACATGTGCCCCTTCGCATAAGGGATTCTTCAATTATCGTAGCAAGTCACCAGTGAGGCTTGTCACTGATAAAAACATGTCAACTCTCGATATGACCCTCCCTCGTGTATCAGTCCCAATTCCTGCTGTAATTATCATGAGGGCATTGGGTTTTTGCTCAGATAAGGAGTTCATGGAGATGGTGTGCTACGATTTATCTGACCTGCACTTGATGGAGCTGATTCGACCATCTATTCTAGCTGCGGATGAGTACATGGTCAAGTTCTTGAAGTCAAAGAACTCGACATCCAAGACGGCAATGCAAGCCGTGCGCCAACAGGACAATGCTTTGGCTTATATTGGTTCAAAGATGACAAACAATGTCAAACCTGATGAGGAGTGTGGTAGAGATGTTCTTAACCTCATGTTCCATCACATTGGGCAGGGTTATAAGCAGAAGGCGTATTTTTTGGGGTACATGATTCGTCAAATATGTTTGGCACGCTTAGGTCGATGTCCTGAAGATGATAAGGAGCACTACAAGAATAAACGTCTCGATCTTGCGGGTCAACTCTTGCGACACCAGTTTCGAGCAGCAATGGCACATCTCCAGCGGGACATGCAGAAACAGTTGCAGAAGCACCTGGGCAAAGAGGACAGCTTAGGCTCGATAAAAACCTTCGTCCAGGAGTCTATAATCACTAAAAACCTGCAAGGTGCTTTTACTCTGGGAAATTGGAATACTAGTGAAGGTCAACGTAGCTCGGGTGTTGTTGGTGATATCAAGAGGACGAACACTATTGCAATGATATCACATCTACGCCAGCTTCGGCTGAACCTGCCCCCGAAGAGCAGACCTACTGAGTCTGCGCGTCATCCGTATGTTTCTTCCTTTTGAAAACTTTAATTTTAAAATCTGTTAGCGCGTTGAAATTAGTCGTGCATGACATTGCCGGGCGATTTAAAGTGGCTTGCTAGATAGCTGCTCGTAAATTATAATGAGAATTTAAATTGGTTAGTGTGGATGTATGCAGGAACTTCTCATACTGGGCAAGAGTGTGCCCTGTACAGACAACTGATGGAGATGATTGTGGACTGGTTAAGAATATTTCACTCACAGGAATCCTGAGTTCCAACACAGAGGAAGAACCACTGATGGCTATTCTTTTGGATCACGGGATGCGATATTTGGAAGAGATACTACCGTCTTCATTGGCTGACACTGACAAGGTTTTCCTGAATGGCAAATGGGTCGGCACATTAGATAACTCCCAAGATCTTGTGAATATACTTAGAGCACACAGGCGAAAAGGAGCCGTTCATGAGGAGGTATAGGTTTTCGCCTGAATTAGTCCATTTCTCGGGTTGCATTTCTAACTTGTTGGTTGATGATGTTACGATTTTTTATTCCTACGAGCGGATTTTGCCGCCTCACACACATTTATGAAATATGCCAATAAAGTTTGGTGTTATTGCGTGCCAACACAGACGGAAGTTGTGAAGGATGACCATCTAAAAGAGGTCCGTATCTACACAGATGGTGGGCGAATCTTGCGGCCACTCCTCGTGGTGCAAAATCAATGCCTGGTGCTATCTAAACGCCATCTGAAGAAGATCAACATGGATATGAAAACTGGAAAAACTGCGAAAGAATGTTGGCAGGCGTTGCTTGCAGATGGTGTTGTAGAATATCTCGGAGTGGAGGAAGAGGAGGGAGCAATGGTTGCATTGGGATCTGATGACTTAGCGAAGGCTCGTGGTTGTGATGGTGCTCTTGTTTACTCGCACTGTGAGATCGATTCGTCATACTTGATGGGGCTAGGTGCCTCCACAATACCTTTCTTGGAACACAATCAGGCTTCTAGAAACCTGTTTCAGTCCGACAAACACTGCAAACAAGCTATTGGCTTGTATACGACAAACTTCCAGTCGAGAGCTGATGCTAGTGCCAGCCATTTGTTTTATCCTCAGAAACCGTTGGTGACGACGCGAGCTGCCAGCATATTGCAAAAACCCGAGCTTTATAGTGGCCAGACGGTAATTGTAGCTATTTTATGCTACGGCTATAATCAGGAAGATTCAATAGTTATGAACCAAGCCTCTGTTGATCGAGGCCTGTTCAGGTTGGTAACTTACAACATCAAGTTTGTTGACTACTTCGTCGTCATTGTTGGTACGAGGTCGAGTTTCTACCAAAGATCTATGGATATATCTATTTCTCTCTTCCTGTATGTCCTTTTCTGTTTCTCTGATACGTCAATATACCTTCTTGGTGGTCAGATCTGCACATTATAAGACTTACAAGGGTGAAGAGAAGAAAAACATACAGGAGCAGTTTTCCAAGCCAAGCACCTCTGATGTGAAAGGGTGGTACAATAAGAGCTTGGACAAAGTAGAAGGCGATGGATTTCCTTGTTTAGGGGAGAAACTTGTGAAAGGTGATATCGTAATTGGGAAGGTAACGTCAGAGGTACATAACCCAAGACAGGTGGACAGTAGTACACACCTCAAAGTACATCAGAAGGGGCACGTGGATCAAGTTATGCTCAGTTCTGAGGAAGATGGACACCGGATAGCTAAAGTTCGACTTCGGGTGACTCGAGCTCCACAGGCAGGTGACAAGTTTTCAAGTATGCATGGGCAGAAGGGAGTCATTGGGGCTCTTTTTCCTCAAGAGGACTTGCCTTTCACGCAGCAAGGAATTGTTCCAGATATCATTATGAACCCTCATGCTCTTCCGAGCAGGCAAACTGTGGGTCAGATATTGGAGTGCTTGCTTGGCAAGGCCATAGCTGCGAGCGGAAAGCGCCGGTATGCAATACCTTTCTCTGGAATTGACAACGCGGAGGCCATAAATCAGTACTTACACGAGTAAGTTGTAGTCATCCCCGATTTTGATGGTTTTGCACAATTGTGTCTATTAAAGAAATTAAAGGATTACTCTTTGTGATTGTCTTCTGTCAGTTGGAATTCTAGCCTGCTGTGCTGTCACATTCAAGTAGCAGGCTTATTCAGCAAAAGGGGGCGTAAAAATAACATTAACGGTAGCTGGATGTTTTTGTTGTCTCAGAGCAAAGCTTGCAAGAGGGGGTTGTGAATTTATGTCCAACGGTACAACTGGTCAGAGATTGAAAGTTTTAGTTACGATAGGGCCGACTTTTTACCAGAGACTTGAGCATATGGCTGAGGACAAAATCAAGTACAGGGGTAACACGGGACCCGTGAACTTACTCACACGACAACCCGTGAAAGATCGGAACTCTCTTGGAGGATTGAAATTCGGCGAGATGGAGCGAGATTGCATGCTTGGACACGGAGCCTCAGCAACATTGCGGGAGAGATACTTCTTGCTTAGTGATCCTTACAAAATGTACATATGTCAATCATGTCGAAGGCCTGCAACAATGGACTCTTCCCGAATTCCCAAGTGCCAGTTTTGTAAGAATGGTAAACGCATTGTTCAGGTTCAGATCCCTTATGCATGTAAGCTGCTTTGGCAAGAGCTCTTGAGCATGGGCATTTGTGTCTACATGGACACCAAAAAATGCTAGACCTGCCAGATGTATCATCATTGTAAATGTACTAGTCCTGCTTGTTTTCAAATTTCTGCGTACTGGAATGATAAATTTTTGTGCTTTTTCTTTTTGAATTCTAGGATCTGTATCTTTAAACAACATGAACATTATACAATGTTAGATTCAAAGGTGAAATTGAAGACACTTCAATAGTTCGTGTAGATACTCGTGAAAATACTCTTTTTCGTGTAAAAACATTATATTTGCGTAATATGTTGATTGAAAGGTTTGAAAATGCAGCATAGAATATTTGTGAATTTCCTAAAATTTTTGCACTTCAACTTCTTCTTCTTCCTTTTTTTTTTTTCTTTTTTTAAAAAATTAATAGAAGACATGATTTCTGAAATAAACGTTAGAAGGTGGATCTCAATAGGTGTGTTTTTGTTGTGATATCTGTATTCGACCACTAACAAGTTGTATAATACTCTAAAAGGTTTGCCTTTGTGCCTAATCTTTAAAGTAAGTTATCAACAACACCTAATCAATCATTAGGTGTTGTTGATAACTTAGCTATTATTCTGGTAATACCCAACGTATAGTTAGTTGTTCTTTACAAAGGGATGACATTGTGCAGCTGCAAAATGAGTATTTATGTGCTCATTGGCTGGACTAGTCAGTAACATATTAAATTTGGAGCGCTATGGTCATTAAACCAACCATGACTAGGTTGATTCTTTAAGTATTCAAAAGAGGAAATTACTTCAACTTTTTAAACTCATTTCAAACTTTTGTTTTAATCCTTTAAGTGTAGCTCAAAAAAATACATGTAACCTCCATAAGTAATTCGTGTCCAACAATAATTTTGTAGGTAATACATTCTCATTTGGTAGTTTTGAAACTGGCAAGTTCTTTTGAGGATTTGCAATACATCATGTTTCAAACAATTACTCAAATTCCCATTTCAAAAAATGTAGTGAATTTCTTTCAAGTTCTACTTTATATAATTGAAACTGTTGTATTACAATATCTTGATTGTTACAATTCAAATAGTATGTCACTCAAGTATTAGATATTCTAAATGATGCAGATTATGATTCTGCTGTAAAATTCATAATTTTTTCTACAAATACCATATATATATATATAGATATATATATATATATATATATACATATATGGTGAAACAATGATACATGACAAATATGTGTTCTTATAACTATAAAAATCTATAAAATTTATCAAATACTTGTTTTGCATTTACATGTGAAAAAATTAAACTTGAGTTTATTTTTTTAGGAAACAAAGTATAATGTTAAAATATGTAAGTTAAGACTTTTGATTCAATATATAATCAAACTTTTGAATGTTAAGTTATTCATTTTTGTAGGTATATTTTTATTTTGATTACCAAATCTTTGAAAAAAATTACATTTAATGCATTTCATCAATTTCTCTCAATAGCAACATATTTATGTCAAACAAGTCACAATACAACAACCATAGCAACCATACCAAACAACCTTACTTACAACCAAATCCTCCTAATAACCAAATCCCAAACCTTTTGAAACTGAAGTTGAGCTGCGTAGATTAGTTGAGTTAGGCAATTCAAAACTCAAGCCAGATGAACAAAGTGTAGTTCAAAATCACTTGGGTAATCAAAGATATTTGCACCACCACTCTCCAGCAAAAAAATTAAAATTAAATTAAAATTAAAACACAATAAAAGTGCAGAAGAAAAAAACAAGCAAACAAAACAAAACAAAATGCGGAAGAGAAGAGGCCGAACTTTTGAGTGGGTGTTCATGAGCAAATTGTGTGAAGATTCACGCAAATTGACACAATATCATCTCCATCTCTCTCACACACACACACACAGAAAAACACAGAGAGAAACACACATCAAGGTGTATTTGAAATCGAAAACATGTGGTAACGTGCAATTGCAAACACAGGAGGAGGAAGAAACGGGTCTCAGATTGTGGTGAGGCTTGCTGCGCACAGCGCGCAATTCTCAGCCGAGAACACACAATCTGCGGCTATGGCGAGGGTCCGATAGATGTGTCGTGGGAAAGCATGGTCGTTACCGTTGCCAGTGAACAGAAACGCAGGATATGGAAACCAGGGACCAGTAGGACGGAGGAGAGCTGGGAGGACGAAGACCCAACGAAGAAGGGTGGATGATCGTCCATTTTCCCCTCAGGAAGCTTCTGCATAATCCCCTCATGATTCAGTCTCCTCGACTATACAGACGCACAATCGTGAAGGGAGTCGAATGTTGTTGCAACACCCTTCGTCACTTCTCCTCAATTTTGCTGTGCTTGTGATTTTGAGTGCAGTGACTTTGATTGATTAGTGATAGCTACAGATCGAGTGGGAAATGAGGCAGTGAGGGGTTGGCTGGAAAACCTTGGGATTATGCAGAAGCTTCATGGTTAAGTTGGAGGAATTGGAGAAGCTTGAAGCGAGGAGGGACGTTTTGTGTTTTTTGCAAGAGCTTCGTAACCTAGCTTGCGTTGAAAAAAGGGTGCAGAGTTCAATCGGATGCGCGGATGAGTTGAGAAGAAAGTTCTGAACGAGCAAGAGATCATCATGGTGTTGTTGAAGACTTAGAAAGCCATGAGCGTGTCTAATTCTGCTGTGGGCGCCCTAAAGTAGCCAAGTTCTTCGGTTAGAAGACGTCCGCATCGCACTGGTTCTTCCATTGGTTTTCTGGGTTTAGGGTTTTTGAAGTTCTTGGGTGTGTCATTTTACGATGGATTTGGGAAAAATGAAGGATGGTGCAGAGCAAACTTCTCCTCTTTTCAGAGCCTGGGTCGCGGCCCGTCGTCCGTTTAAAGTGGACTCGCCTTTCTTCGCCGCCGGTAATGTGGAACGGGAGTTGGTTGCAAAACAGGTGCTTCACTATCTGTGCTTCTCGTTGCCATGCCTTGTGTAGAGCATATTGCTCATCCTGATAATGTACAATTTTGTCCTTGCTGGTTCCTTGATCGGTTTGATTGTAAACATGTTTCCCGATCTTCAAAACCTTCTGAGCTGTGGTCTTAGCACAGATTATGTTACATGAGCTTTAGATCGCTAGAAGCCAGAGCCATCAGTGGGCAAGTACCATCATGAATCGGAATTGCATCTTTTCCTGTTTTTTGCCATTTTGGCTTTTGTCGCATCTCTCGGCTTATTCAATCATGCACTTTGCACGGATGTCAAGTAGATTCATTGCGGATTGTTCACAGTGCCCGTGAACACTTCGAATTAGCCTTGTGCTCTCTCCGTAGTAAGAATAATAATATTAGGACATTTTCGTGATCTACTAACAGGTTATAAGCTCTTGTCCCATCATTTCCTACAAGCATCTGTTAGAAGGGCTCTGGAATTGTGATTGCTTGCACGCTTTTTTTCGTTTCGCACGTTTCAAATCTCAAGAAAATTGTGTGGACTGTGTTGTAGATTTCGTTGGAAATCACTGAGGAGGAGAAAAAGCACATCGTGCAATCAGAGGAAGAACAACTCTGGTAAAAGCCCTCACCTCTCATTTTCAAAGCCATTGTTAGCGTGTGCATTGTTAATTTAAAAACACCGACTGCAAAATGGTAACCACAAGTCCATAACTTCCAGAAATCGTCTTTACGGAATGAATCAAATGGTTGCAAAAGGCTACCATATCGTTTTCACAGGCATGTTGCGTACTATGAGTTCTGCAGGGAAATATTCTGTCCTATTGTAGGCTGTAGGACTAAACTGAAAGGAGTGGGAGAGCTGGAATCTCATTATCTATCTCGACATTCAGCCACGTGCTCTATATGCACACGAGTCTTTCCCACAACGCGTCTGCTTAATCTTCATGTGTCCGAAACACATGATTCGTTCTTCCGAGCTAAAGTTGCTTTGAACTATCCCATGGTAAGTTCTCACTGTCCATAAATAAGTTAACTTTCCTGTGTACACTCTCAATCTTTTTGTATGCCAAAGTGGCCTGTCTATCTCAAGTTCTTGTACAATGAAGATGCAGATGTTGGATATTTCTATAATAAATCACTTCGCCGCGTTGTTCGTGACTGTTCTCAAACTTCAGCCTTATCATGTTCGTTTCAATTTGCCGAATAGAAATGCATAGTGGAACACTGAGAAAGCTAACTCGTCTGACTTCCTTGCCCCATCAAGCGCAGTATGAGTGTCTAATGGAGGGTTGCTCAGCACGATTCCTCAGTGACTCAAATAGACACCAACATTTAGTCGATAAGCATCACTTTCCTCGCTCCTTCCGGTTCCACGTCAAGAAACATGCCTCCCAAAAACAACGACAACGGCAGAAAGCTCACCAACCCAGCAACTCTGGGAGTACACCGAAACAGTCAAAGAAGAATCAGAGGGCCAAGGCAGCATCAGAATCAGCTCCCGATGTGCATACAGACCGTAAAGACTACGAGTCAACCACACCTTCGGAGACCCAGAACCAGGACACACCTATGGACGTGGATGAATTAGTCACCGCAGTATCCAGACTGAGCACCGTCTCCCAAGATGAAACACCCTCGGTGTTGAGATTTGGCCATAGACGAGGCCGTGGGGTGCCATTTGGACAGAAATCTCGAGGCTCGGGGCGAGGGAGAGGAAGAGGAAGATCGGGGCGTGACCAAGAGGATGACTCACCCCCACTGCAAAGCATCTCAACCTGACCCATCTGGGTATGGTTCTGACATCTCTTCGATTTCCGTTCAACTTGCAGTGGACATTAGCTGTTTCGTTGTTTCCCTCGCTTGTGTTACATCTCTCCAATCTCTGCAACGTGAATTGTAGTCTTCATTTATTGACAGGGGTTGTTCTCTTAGATCTCCAACAATGTAGATGATTGGCCCCGAAGGAAGAGTGGAAAATCTCTTCGTTTTCCATTGTAGTTCCTTTTTTTTTTTTACTTTTTTTATTTTTATTTTTATACTACTGTTGAAGATTTTTCGATGCTTTTATTCATTTGAATCTGTTAGAAGTAGAGTTATTACAATGTTTTTGGGCTGGATTTTGAGCAGTTGAACTGCCTCCCACATTGTACGTTGCCCAAGTATATATACGAACCAATTTTTGTAATTTGTGTGTTCCAGTTTTACAGTCATGCGCTTTTGGTATCTGAGTCCATTATAGTATGTAGACACTTCAATATCATCGGCGACTTTGACGTTGCCATTACAGAATGTTCTTCATCTAAGATTAATGCACAAGTCAAATTATTTTACATGAGATGAGGAAGATAATTAGTTGGCTTTATATTTTCACAAATTAGTGAAAAGATTGTATAAGGAAAAATAAATGAGCTCGAATACATTGTTTTTACTACACAGCATGAATAAGTGTTTTCTCTTGGAATTTGTGTTGAAGCCCTCCTTACAATATAATATAAAATGTAAAAATATCATTTTAAAATATAAAATATATCTAAACTAAAATAATAAAAAAAAAGAGCTCCAAAATTTGTCATTTTTTTATCATCTCATAATATTCTCTTAAAAAAGAGTAGAAAAGTAATAGAGACATGTGTTATTTGTCAAACAATATACTATGTGAATTGATAAGTCATTGATATAATGCATAATTTAGATGTCTTTTCAAAAAAAATATATATGTATTTTTATATAACATAGCAGTAAACTCACATAATAATTAATTCATTACATATTAAAAAATAAGATAATTTTTTTTTTTAGTAAATTCTATAAATATTCATTAACCTTTGAAAATCCTTTTGATTAGTCCTTTTTGAAACAATGCTTTAAAATTAAATAATCCTATCAATTCATTTTTATTTATGATTTTGTCTTATTCAATACAATTTATATTTTGGCACATTAGAATAGTTATATTTTGTTTTATTTTGATTTAATGGATTGTTATTACAACTTCTAGATTTCGATTTCATAAATATTTTAATTTTCATATTAAAAGTTGATCTTATAGTAATGATAAATTTAAAATAATAAATAGAAAATTAAATAAAATATTTTAAATATTGCATATTACTCACATCTAAGTTGGTTTTATATAAAGTATGTTTAAGAAATTTAACTATAAATTTATTATTTTTCTATAAAAACATCATACACATGCATTTTTATTTTTATTTTTACAAAAGTCTTATACAACATTTTTTTTTTCTCCCATTTTCTTTCTCTGTTAAGAATATATATATATATATATATATATATATTCATGACTTGAAATATTTTCATGTTTATTGTATTGAATTGCTCATTGTGAGTGTACATTTCACTCTTCAACTCCAAGTACAAGATGGCCTCAATTAAGAGTTGCTTGTAATTGGTGGTGTGAAGTGAAGTAAGCAATTGGCAAAAGACCAAAGAGGAACAATCACCATCCAAGTGAAAGAAATGAAATCAAGTAATCACAACATCCAAAACTAAGTCATAATCTATTCACTAGATTTTTATCCAAAAAAAGTAAAAATAAAAAATAAAAAATATATTTTTAGATAGATAATTTTTTTTATCATTCCAATGATATAAAAATCATATAATTCCAAGTTACTATGAATAAATTATGATAGATTAAAGATAGAATGTAAATAATAAAAAAGTTAAGTGAATAATTTTTACCTTAAGGATAACTTGCTTAAGAAAGCAGGAGTTTGAGTTTCATTAAGGCTCACAAATAGTGTTTATTGGTTTTCTAAAGAAGCCTTGAGGCCTTAGTCTTATCTTCCTACCTATATGCAAGATGCTACAACTGTCACAGACATATATTTACTGTAATTGTTACCTAGGTGTTATGAATAGGTAGAAGTAGGTAAAAGTAGATTAATTTCATAATATCTTCTAGAAAAGCTTTCTAGAAGCTTCATAGATGTTTTTTTGACTTTACATGTATTTATACTTAATTGATAGGTTAGAAACTTCGTCAACAAGTTAACCACATGCTATATATGTTGGTAGCTTGCGGAACAAGCTAGCTATGTGGCACCTACATAGAAAACTTGCCTTGTAAGCTAAGATACATGTTGTGTAAAGTCAAAATGTTTTTGGAGGTCCTATAGAACGTTGCCATATAGCTCTATATGTTACCCTATAAAACGTTTTTGGAGGTCCTATAGAACGTTGCCATCTACATAGAGGATCACAACTAGCAAGAAGTCCTTGTGTGGAGTATTTATTTCAATAGGTTATGGGCCCACATTCTCTTACCAAATAAGTTGTTCTTGCATTATTTCTTTGTTGCTTGTTTTTGGTGGTTGAGATCTTATGGTAGAGTGTTGCTAGTGAATTGTTGAAGTCATTGCTCCTGGATTTGTGAGTGTATGAACTTAGTGCAAGACCTTGATAGTGTCTTTGCTGAAGGAGCACTAGTATTTGAGAGTTTTATGAAAAAGTGAGTCATTTTTGAGTGAAGTGATGTTAGAGAGACGTTTGAAAGTCATAAAATCACATTACAAACCATTCTCCACCATTTAGACGTAATTTGGACTCAAAATATGCAAAAAGTTGCAAAACAGCGAATTCTGGGTTTGTAGTTCAGTAATCTTTAAGTAGTCATATCTTTTGCATTACAACTCCAAATCAAGAGTTTTTTGGACCTTCTTGTAGCTTGAGATGGCATCTTTTGAGGGTGATAGCTTTAGAGTTGTTGAAAAGTTTAGAGGTGACAACTTTCACCACTGGAAGGCCAAAATGGAGCTACTTTTGGCGTCATTGGATCTTTGGGAGATAGTAGATGAGGAGGAACTTGCACCTGGGGTAGAGGCAAGCATCAAGGAGCAAAAGGACTTCAAAAGACGAGAGAAGAAGGCTTTTGGCATAATTGCCACCAATTTAGATGAAAGCAACTTTGCTCATGTCATTTCTTGCAAAGGGGCAGCAGATGCATGGAAGATTCTTTGCAATGTCTATGAAAGTAGGAATCTCTCCAATGTGCTATGGTCAAGGCAAAAATTCTTCACCGTGAAGATGGAAGAAGGTGAAGATCTCATGGCTCATGTGAATAAGGTAAAAGCACTTGCAAACCAACTTGCTGTTGTTGACAAGCCTTTACTTGAAGAAGATGTTGTGATGACATTGCTCTCAAGCCTTCCAGACTCCTATTCCTCCCTTATTGTGGCATTGGAGTCTATTTCAAGGAAAGACCTCACTTTGGACTATGTCACGGCAAGACTAGCCCATAAAGTGACCAAAAGAAAGTAAAAGGAGTCTATTCGGGAGCAATCAGTACTATTTACAAGACCAAGTAAGGCAAGTGCCCCTTTTCAACGTTATCCTCCTAAAACTTGTTACATTTGTGGAAAACCAGGCCATTTTGTTAGAAATTATTTCAAGGCAAAGAGAGGAGAAAGAGAGAATGCCAACAATGCTTTTCATGACCATGGAGGTGAAGACTTTGCATTCATGGTAAAACAAACTCCTTCTATGCTTGATATGAGCAAATGGATTGTGGATTCCAGATGCACCAAACACATGACTCCATACAAGTGTTCATTTAACACTTATCAACCAATTCCAGCAACCAAGGTTTGGTTAGGTGATAATGGTATGGTACAAGCTATTGGAATGGGCACCATTGTAGTGGAGGTGTTGGTGAAGGGCATCAGCAAGAGAATCACTCTCAAGGATGTATTGCATGTGCCAAAGATGAAGAAGAACCTCCTTTCGGTGAGTAAACTTGTAACTCATGGATGCAAAGTGCAATTTAACATGAATGTATGTTTTGTGAGAACCATGGAAGGCAAAGAAGTAGCAAAAGGGACTAGGAATGGCAATCTCTATATTATCAATTGCAAGAGGATCAATGGAGTGGAGGTTGTTGCCTTTGCTGAATTTCCATCAAATGAAGACAAGGTGGGCATTTGGCATCAAAGACTTGGGCATTTGAATGCCAAAAGCATGAAGGAGTGGAAAAGCCACTTTTGGAGAAGCAATGTGAGCACAAGATTAAGGTGCTGCGATCGGACAATGGAGGTGAGTATTTGTCCAAACACTTTGATGAGTTATTGAAGCATGAAGGCATTGCAAGACAAACCTCCACTCCCTACACCTCACAACAAAATGGAGTTGCTGAAAGAGCAAATCGCACCATTGTAGAGATGGCAAGGAGTATGATTCATGCTCAAAAACTTGGGTATGAGTATTGAGCGGAAGCTGTAGTAAATGCCGTGTCTACAAGAAATAGGTGTCTCACAAGTGCACTTGAAGGAATGACTCCCCAAGAAGCTTGGACTGGTAACAAACCTTGCATATCTCACATAAGGATTTTTGGGTGCATTGCATATGTCAAGGTTCCAGATAGTATGAGAGGCAAACTTGATGCAAAGGGCACAAGATGTGTATTCCTTGGTTATTGTGAAGGCACCAAGGCATATAGGCTCATGTGTTTAGATACCAAAAAGATCATCAAAAGTCGTGATGTAGAGTTCTTGAAGCATAAAAGTGGTAGTGAAAAGTGGGAGATGTGTCCAAGTGGGAGTAGTGGTGTGTTTGTGGATACATCTTCAATTCCAGCAAACAAACAAGAAGATGAAGAAGAGCATTCTCAAAGTGAAGAAGGAGAGGAAGATGCCATGATAGAAGAGCCCAATACTATGAAGACTTCAATTCAAGCAAGATACAATAAGGACAATGAAGAGAATGAAGATAAAGAATACCAACCAATGAGTAAGAGAAAGAACTCCATGAGCCATACAAGGCAGCAAGAGGTGCATGAAGGCTCATCCTCCTTGCATGAAAGAAGATATCCAACACGTGAGAGAGGACCACAAGGTGAATGGTGGAAGAACCACATCTTTCCACAAGTAAGTGAAGACCATGCCAATGTTGCTCTTCTTGATGATCCATTGACTTTGTGTGATGCAATAAGGTGTGGTGATGCAATGAAGTGGGAGATTGTCATGCAAGAAGAATACAAATCTCTTTTGGACAATGAGACATGGGAGTTGACTCTACTTCCACCAAATCGATCAAGAATTGGATGTAAGTGGGTGTTTAGAACCAAGAGAGATGCTATGGGCAATGTTGTGAGGTACAAGGCAAGATTGGTTGCCAAAGGCTACTCACAAGTTGCTGGAGTGGACTTTAATGAGACATTTGCACCCG